GAGTAAATAATACAATGCAAGCGATTCATATGGCTGGATGAATGAATGAATAAAAATATACACATAATAAAATATACATACATGCATAATTAATAGCTGGCTAGACACACAAGTACAAATGTAAAAACAGAGGCAACAGATGCTAGATATGCACAAATAATAGGAATGGCTAGTGATAGTCAATGGATGGTTTAATAACGGGGATAAATAACAAGATGAAAGGCATGAGATGGATGGACAAAGCTCTAACATTCCAAACAAATCAATGGAGCTGTCCAATAGGAACCTGAAAAGGAACATTTATTTTGAAGCCCAAACCTTGTCTTGCCTCGCCTGACAGAAACAGTATCTGAAGTTGTGAGGGTAGATCAACTCAGCAAGAAAAATAAAAGGGGGGGGGGGGAGAGAAAGAGTAGGAGGAAGGTAGGGGAGGGGATGAGAGAGAACCCTGCAGTACATCTCAGTTATCAAGGGAACACCAGGACAGATGGACACCACATCCAGAGGGTGTGTAGCAACACTGAAGTCAAAGGAATCTGCCCCACTTATGTTCCTGAGTGGGTGTCTTTGATAATCACTTTGAAAAACAGAGTATAAATAAAAGTCTGTGGGTGGTGACATAACAATATCCTTGTTTTCAGCTCAACTGAGTCTGCCCTGCCCTGCCCACCAGAGGTGTGGGGATCCACTCAGTTCAGACCAGGTGACTCCCACAGTTTCTTGTGGCTAGAACAGCCAGCAAAGCCCGTCTTTAACCCATTCCCCCAAAGTCTCTTCACCAGCTCCCCATTTCAAACTCAGAATGGGAGATGACACCCTTTATGGCCACACTGCACACCTGATGCCAATTTGTGGCACTCAGATCTTTATATTGTGAACATGGACTTTGTTATCATCCACTTGCATCTCTAGATCCCTCTCTGGTGGTTGTTTTGCTCTGCTGGTTAACCAAGATTCTCCTGGGGAAAAGATAGGGAACCCAACTGCAGTACGCTCACCTCTTTTGCATTACATCTCCTCTCTGTCATAGCCATAGTCCTATCACAGACAAGGAGGAACTCTGTGGCTGCAAAAGTCGTATTTAGCACTAGACAATGCTGACTTTTGGCCAGTGTCTTAGGGTTTTTATTGCTGTGAAGAGACACCATGACCATGGCACCTCTTATAAAGAAAACATTTCATTGGGGTGGTTTGCTTACAGTTTCAAAAGGTTCAGCTCCATGATCATGTGGGCGGGGAGCATGGTAGCGTGAAGACAGACATGGTGATGGAACAGCTGAGGGCCCTACATCTTGCAGGCACAGGAAGTCAACTGCGACACTGGGTGGTATCCTGAGCTTAGGAAACTTCAAAGCCCGCCCCCACAGTGACACACTTCCTCCAACAAGGCCATACCCACTCCGACAGAGTCACACCTCCTAGTAGTTGCCACTCCCTATGCGATTACGGGAGCCAATTTCATTCAAACTACCATAGCCAGAAAGAACGTATGAGATGGTAAACATTAAAATTTAGTAATCATGTTCTATATGATGACCATTATTCTTTTCTGTAAATGAATTCCACCAATGATGACCTCTCTTGGAACAATTGCTCTATTAATAACTGGGCACACAATCCATGCAAAAGTGTAAAAAAAAACAAAAACAAAAAGATATGTACATGGTTTAAAGAATGCTTAAACAGCAAATGTCCAGGTCCAGAAGCAGAACCCACTGGCTTCCCACCCAGAGTCTTGGGATGCTCTTCCTGATCAAATCTTTCCTTTCCCTATAAAGAGCTGTGATAATCTTTGCTGCTTTTAATAGTTTTACACTTACGTACTTATCCTTAATACTGTAGTTTGAAGAGCGTTCAAGAACTCCCAAAACTACCCAGTACTAGGGAGGCAGAGGCAGGTGGATCTCTGTGGGTTCAAGGACAGCAGAGTCTACATAGTGAGTTCCAGGACAGCCTGAGTTACATAGTGAGACCCTGCCTTAAACAAAACAAAATAAAAACTAAACAAAAACAAAAGAAGAACTCTCAAAATTAGAATGACCACACCATATCCATTCTTTGGCTTGCTTTTTTTAACCAGATGTTGTGATCTACCTGTTATTGTAGCACAGTTTTCCTTTTTTATTACTATACCATATTTCACAGCACAGTTATAATTTGTCCATTTGATTATTGACACAAGTCTGGGTTGGATGGTGGTTTTAGTTAGTTCAAATAATATCAAGAGCAACCGATTCTGAAATAGCCAAGTTGCAATAAGTACTGTCTTTTTGTTTACTAGACGGCAACACTTCTTCAAAAGATCATTATATTGGATCACAAACATACAGATTATCCTTGTTAAAAACTTGTTACTATGGTGTGTGTGTGTGTGTGTGTGTGTGTGTGTGTGTGTGTGTGTATGTGCACCTGCACAAGCACTGGTGTTTACATGCAGGTATGTGCACAGGGATGCCAAAGGAAAAATCTTTCCTCAGATACTATGGTTTTTATTTTTCCTTGGTTTATGTTTGTTGGAATGGGGCTTCTTATTAGTCTGTGACTCATAACTCAGGCTATGACGGCTGGCCAGCAAGCCTCAGGTTTCCATGTCTCCACCTCTTCAGAGCTGCAATTAAAGACAAATTCCTACCACTATCCTTGCCCCCCCCCTTTTTTTTCCTTTTCTTTTGTGAATTCTGGGTATTGAATTCAAGTCCATTACTGTCAGACTCTTAAAAGTGGTCTCTGGTCTGGCAGGTGCCTAATGGCACTGCATTGTGATCTTCAGTTCCCAGCTGTGGTTATCAATGAGGATGCCAGTATTTGCATATATTTGTCATTTGCATTTTCTTATCAGTGCTGCATCTGTTTAAGTCTTCTACCTCCTTTAAAAAAAGTTTTCTATTTCTCATGGTTTGGTATAATGAATAGATCATAGATGAGTATGGAAAGTTTTGCATTGTGACTTGTCTTTTCTATCCATTTTATGACATTGTTTGGTTTGGGGTAGATGAATTTGTCCCTAAAATATGTATTTTCAAGGCTGCAGCAATGTGTCTCAGCTGCTGAAAGCAATGGCTTCTCTTCCAGAGGTTCAGGGTTCAATATCCAGCAAGCATGGGGCAGCTCACAACTGTCTGTAATTCCAATCCCAGGAGATCTGACACTGTCTTCCAAAGACACTACATACATGCAGTACACAGACATACATGCAGGCAAAACAGCCACACATGCAAAATAATAAATAATTTTTCCCTTTACAACCCCCAAATTACATTTTCTCATATAGGTCCACCACAGAATTTGAAATATTTTTTGAATTGGAAAGATACTGAAAAACATACAATATATAATGTATAACACCCTCAACAAAGACTCAGATGGCACCCTTCTACAGCAAAACCTCTTAGTTACATAAGTGACAAATAAAGTCTCACGCTATTTTAGCTCCTCTCTTCCCCCCTCTCTTACACACACACACACACACACACACACACACCAATGAGTTCCAAAGAGTTTGGTATTTCAGAGATTGGGAAATTTTTATAATCAGTACAATTTACAGTTGCAAGAGTACAGGCATAATTGAATTAGTAAAAGTCAAGAGGAACCTCCTGTCAAAACCATCTGGAACTTGTCTGTAGAAAGATTGTGTGATTGTGTGTGTGTGTGTGTATTTGAATCACCTACTAGCACCATTACTCATTTCTCTAGAAACATGTACACTTTTCTAAACTTTACTTGTACTCAACTGTTTATAAGATCCTTTAACTTTCTTCTCATCTACAGAGCTAGATATCATTACTGAAATGCCATACAGTTGTGCGTTAGTGAATTGGCTCCAGACCTGACAAAAGCAAAATTCTGGTTTGCTGTTTTCCACAGTGTGAGTGTTACATCATGGTCGATTTCAAGATACCAGTGATTTGTTATGATCACGGAGTTGGGAAGGGGTGCAAAAGGCTGGCTGTGGACATCACTGCTTTTGTTTCCCATTTTATTAATGCTTGCTTTTTTTTTTTTTTTGGATGCACTTATGTGGTACACATTTATACTCGCAGCCATATAGACAAAACAAGTAAATCTTTAAAATATATTTCCATTTAAAATGAACTCACCTAAGGCTCTTTCATATTTTTTGCAGCCATCATATTTACATAATGCTGTATCTCTTTATAAACTGACATTGATAAGGTAAATTCACCCCTTTTATAATAAAGTCCTTAGACCACTGGGGTACATGTCCCATATTTTGGCGGTGCTTAGAATCACACTGTCACCCTGAAAACCTGTGCATGCTGACCGTGGTTAGAGCTGTCAGCTGGAGCTGTTGAGGTGTGCAGTTGACTCTCCTGGGTCTGGCTGTGAAGTCCCTGTTACACAAGAATGCACGTGGCTCTTCAAGGAGCTGGAGCCCAGCTGGCCGGCCGGTCTTCATGCATGACTCTACTGGTTCTCCTGAACGTTCTGCTTAAAGACACCAGCTCAAGTTTAAACACTTCTCTCCAAACGTCCGAAGCACGTCTCTTCATCCCTTAGGAGGTAACGGTGCCTCCAAGCATACTCAACCTCAGCTCCATCTTCCCCGGGAGCCTGTGCTCTCAGGCTAGCAGCTGCCTCCTCCCTGCACACAGAGGAGGGGGCGTGGTGCCATCGTCAGTCATCCTAGGCCGCCACAGCTCACCTGACACGGTTTACTACCTGACAAGCAAACTGCGGGGACAGAGGGCGGGGACAATCAGCCACTAGTTTCCGCCCAACCGGCAATCACCCACCACGGGAAACGACACGCCGGAAGTCCCGCCCTCCCGCGTTGCGAACGGCGGCCTGGAAGGGTCAACCTGCGGCGGGCTCTCTGTCTCTCGGTGAGAGTTTCCTTGCGTTGTCGGTGGACTCGCTGGGCGGCTCCGCAGCAGGAACTGGACTCCGGGCCGCGCTCTCCCTCGCTTGCTGATCCTGGGGAGGCCGCGCGGGGCCGGAAGTCTCGGGCCCTCAGGGCCGGGGCCCCAGGTTGTAGGCTAGTCGTGTGATCGCATGTCACGTCGCTCCCTGCAGGAATGGCAGCCCTGTCCATGAAGGAAAGACAGGTGTGCTGGGGCGCGCGCGACCTGTACTGGCAGTGTCTAGACGACAACGCGGAGGACGCGGCTCGGTGCCGGCAGCTGAGGAGCTCGTTCGAGGCCAGCTGCCCACAGCAGTGGGTAAGTCCTGCGGGGCTACCACACGTCCCTGCACTCACCCTCACCTCGGGGTAGGTTTTCAGGGACAAGGTCACGGAAGAGGTCACTCGTTGGAAATCACCAGTTAGTTGTATTACTGTAGAAAATGACAGTGCTCTGCCAGATTCCGGAGAAGGGACAGTGTTGTGATGAGTTCTGCAGGAGTCCATGGCCATTCTCTCACAGCCCCTTCATTCAAACTTCGTTATAATTCAGCAGTAGGGCTCCTTTAGTATCCGTTCTTTTTTTCTCTACTTTGTCCCAGTCTCTGCCAACTTCTATAAAGTGCAGTCTGAGAGGCTTGTCCAGAGACACGTGGTGGAGGGTAGTGCATCAATGGGAATGTGTTCTGAGGGGGACACTTGGTTTTATTTGCTAGGACTTTTTTTTTTTTTTTTTTTTTTTTATCAGTCTTGCATTCAGTTTTATGCAGAGAGCCATGCATCAGAGAGGAGACAGTCATCTAAGATGAATCAGTCACTGTAGTGGAGAGGGAATTCGAACTTGGGTCCTTAAGTCTGTGTTTGCTCTGCTGTACTGCAGTTCCTTGAGAAAGATGAAGGCTTGCTTGTGCTTTACAGTACAGGGCCAAGAGAACCAGGGCTCTGGTTGACAGGTGTATTTACAGAGCAGCTTCACGAGGAGAAACACTCCCAAGAGGTGCTGAGTTCTGGACAGGTGGTTTTCAATGCCAAAAAAAAAAAAAAAAAACAAACAAACAAACCCCACTGCTTTCCCATCAGAGGGTAAGAGATGGTCAAACATGAGTGACTGGCTCAGGGACACAGAAGTTTCTCAAGATACCATGTGGCAGAAGTTTCATTAGGAACAGAACAAAGTAACTGAGTAAACAGTTTTCAAAGGCATGGGTGGAAATATCAGGTAAGCTTGTTACAGCAAAGCAGGGAACCCTCTGCCATGGGCCTTAGGTGCTGTAGGATGACATTCTTAGCCTCTGGTTGGTGGAAGGGACTGGGACAGTGTCAGGGCTGACACATGAACATTTCCCTTGGATTTGGTTTATGCTCCTAGAATATTACCATATCAAGATAAGACAAATGCCTCGTGAAGGAGGATGGTATGAATGAAAATAAAGCCAAGTCTTTCATAATATTTAGGTATGTATCTGTCTCCCAAGATGTATGTGTTTCTAGGTAAGACAGATTTGACAAAAATAACAGGGCTGAAAAATGATACGGTGTACCGAACCTATAACCAGCCATTGTCTATAAAACTTAAGATTCCTGACCCATCCTAGAGCTGCTGAGTGGGCTCCTGTGTGCATAGACTGTTTCTTTAAACTGTGTAGGTTCCCAGGACATTACTTGCTAGTAGGCATGAGGAGATAGACTCAGGGGTCCAGAACACAAGTCATGATTCTGCATAGATACAGTTGATCCCAAGTAGTGTGTTACATTTAAATCTGTGCTTAAGCTTGCCAGACTTCATGACTTGCTCTAACTTCAGTCCTTTTTATCTCAATAGATAAAATATTTTGACAAAAGAAGAGACTACTTAAAATTCAAGGAAAAATTTGAAGCAGGAGAATTCCAGCCTTCACAGTCCACTGAAAATTCCTAGGCTCTTCCTGGACTTTCACACAAGTGGAGATTACTCTTCTGAACTTTCAGAAATGCTTTGACCCGCAATTATACATCAACACGTGTTCTTTGTGAACAGCAATTACTAAACAGGTCAAGCAGAAGATCTCGTCATCCAAACTGTAAAGGACTGAATGGTATTAAGTGTGCTGCTTTAATTTAGTGAGGGATCTATCTTAAGAAAAAATAAATATAGCTTTTAATAAAAAAAACATTTTGTCTTCCACCCCCCCCAATAGAAGCCAAATAAGTAAATCTAGTTGCAACTAGATTTAAATAAAAACTAAGACAGGTTATTAATGTGTTTCTGGCTGTTAGATTAGCATTTTAATATAGAAACTACACATTAAAATTGGAAGATGCCTTAAGTAATCAAAGAGATATAATAAAAAGTTGTCTGTTCAAATGTCCTCAATGATTAGATAGTGCCTGGGTTGTTACCTAGTTCAGTAAGACAAAGAAGAACTAAATATCTAGATTGGGAAGGGAAACTGGGCCTATTCCAAGATGATTAAGAAAAAGCTGAAGGATGGACCCCCAAAAGTGAACTGTAATTCACAAACTTAGAGCCAATACTTGCAAATCAAATATCTCTTAAAGAGCTTGTATCCAGTATCAAGAAAAAACAAAACAAAACAAAATACCTCATGGTTCTTAATAAGAAAAACAATCCTGTTTAAAAAGTAGGCATGTTATGTGACTAGATAGTGTAGGCATTACAGCTTGGATGCAAAGGAATCTTGGCAGCCAGGAGCCAAGGAACATCCGTCACTGGAAGTGTGGCTATGTACAACCCTGCTCCAGGGAAAGGTTTCCCCAATAACTCTTCCCCCTAGAAGAAGGTTCCCCAAACAAAATGTGTTAAAGTTCTGCTCCACTCCATCTTCTGGGAAAGTTGTTTCTTCTCTGCTCTGCTCAGCTCTGGGGAAAGATCTCACCTCATTCAAGAGATTTATTGGGAGGGAAGAATGCAGGAGGGTTCTGTCAGGGTGGGAAAAGGCAGCTGCCAACTGAACAAGCACAGGGTATATACAGATACTGCTTCTTAGGGGTGGAGTTTATCCTGGGTGAAGATCATTAGGGTGGGAATTGGTCGGATTTCAATTCCTGAATTCAGACAAGCTCAGAGACTGGCTGGATTTCATTTTCAGGGGTTGGTTTGTTTTTGTGCTGAGTTGGTCAGGGCCAACATGTGTTTCTTTTACTGGCCCTTTTAACCTTTTGGCTCTGGTTTCAGGGCTAGTGAATTGGTTCTTGGGGTCAGGGTATGTTTCTTCAGCTCTGGTTTCAGTCATCGGCCAACAGTTTCATAATTAATGTAGCATCCATGTGTTTATTTGGGGCTCAAGCGTGGTGGGACCCTGACGGGCCAGAAAACTCATGCTACAGAGATGTAGTGTTCTATGATTGAAACCGTGTTGCAAATCAAAATCCCAAAAGATCTACAAAAGAAAATGAATGGGCAAAGGACTCTAAAAATTGAGTATTACTCAAAGGGTTCCTTGCTGGGCGGTAATAATGATTATCATCAAATAATGCAGTTATCTAAACATAAAGCATCATGGGTTTCATTCTTGGTTTCAGTAAGGATTTATAGGGCTGGTCCAATAGCACTGGATCATGATTTTAGTCCTCAGAGACATTTCTAACCACCGTCGCAAACACAACTGTATAGGACAAATTCCATTTATGCCTAATGTGAACATGATGGCTGAGTTCGTAGCTTTGGAAGTAGAGCCTGGGATCTGAGGATAAAGAGCTTCACTGGGAGAGCTGATTCACATCTTGCCACATTTTATAACAGGAGGGCATAGGTGCTCATAAGTAACAACTTTAATCCTTCCACACTGTTAGCACAGCCACCCTGACAACACTGGTTTCTAGGAAGAACATTTTAAAAATTCATTTTAAAAATTTCATAGTTGTTTAAAATATTTAAAAAGGTAATCTGATTTAGCTAAAAGGGGACAATATACAGTGATATATTGTCTTTAAGGCACATGAAAAGGTTTTGGCATTGAGGTGCAAGGTTGGAGATACAGACACCACCATTAGCACCATGAGAGATGGCAGGGAAGGCTCGGCCTTCAGGATGCCAGCCCCGAACACCCGAGTAGCTGCTGTCTGGTATACTCCCAGATCAGCAGAGCCCCGCTCACATGCACGTTCAGCGAGCGGATGATGCCCTGCTGAGGAATCTCCACACACACGTCCAGTTGCTGGATCAGGTTGGCGGGGATTCCTTCCCGCTCATTTCTGCAGACGAAAAATGCATTGAGACATGTTAGCTTTTCTGTAATATCTTTTACTACTATTCTTTTAGAAGTCCTGAATGTTACTATAGGAGACAAACAGAATAAGTCAACCCCTGTTCCAGGAAGTAAAGAAGGGCATTACAAAGACAGGCCAATTCCATGTTTACCAATAAACATCCCAGCCAGGTGAGATGAAGGGAAAACGAAGGGGTTCCCATAAATGCTATAAATTGACAGGAAGTTGTGTGACAGGAACCTAGGTAAGACTTAAACAGCCTAGAAAACAGACAGGACCAGGGAATCGACTCACCCCAACAGAAGCAGCGACTTCTCAGGGAAGCGGTACTGGGCCAGGTCTGAGCTTTGCGCTGTCTGCTCCACACCAATGACAGTGTAGCCTTCTGCCTTCTTCTGCTGCAGATAATCTGTCAGCTGGGCTGGTCTCACCTTGGTGGCAGTTTTAGAAAGAGCAGAATAGGAAATCATTCCATTGTGAAGGGAGAAAGTGGACGAAGCATTAAAGTTGAACACACTTGTCAAAAGGACTTTAAAGGGAAGACAGAACACTAAACGACATCAGAATTCCCTCCACAGCATAGATTGCTGAGTGGTGACCGAATACAGAGAGGTAAAGTGTTCAACTGAGGGCCCTGCTACACAGATAAGACCCCATGGAACTCAGCATTAAAGGATTGGACTGAGAAGCTGGCACAAACACAGCATGCCAAGACTTTACACCCACCTCTACCAGAGGAAGCCACTGCTCTGCAGAGACACTAAGGTGCTGGAACTGTCTGTCACTGACACACTGAAGACTGCCAACGACAAGTACTGCAGCTCCGAACACCTCACAGGTCCGGCATAGCCCTGCACAGGACGGCTTGTTAGTAAGAGTGTCTCCAGCAGGGTCATGAGTTCATGGCATTCCAGCCTTTCCTCTGAGCTTACCAAGAGGGTTGTGCAACACACAGCCACATAGGGTTGGTAAAAAGGTTTTAAGTGAACTACCTGGAAGATGATTTTACCTCCTAAGTTGGTTGGCTTGTCGATGAGCGAGGCCACAACAATCAGTCTACTAATGGACTTTCCAAGCTTGGCAGCCCGGTCCTGAAACATAAGCTCCAGGTCTGACTCCAGAGCCTTGTGTCCCCATGGGATAATCTTTTTCTGGACATCAGCCCACTCTGATTGGCTCTCTGCTTCGCCCAAGGTATAACCTGAGAAGAAATAATAGTTCCTGTATGTAAATTAGCCTGGGTCAATCTTCTATGTACGTGTATCTTTAGATGAACTTTTTAAAATATTCTTTTTGTTGTTGTTAATGTGTGCATGTGGCCCGAGTGTATGTATGTATGCACATGAAGACCAGAAGAGGGCGCTGAATACTCTGGAGCTGGAGTTACGGGTAGTTGTAAGACACCTCATGTGGGTGCTAAGGATGGAATCAGCAGTCTGTGCTTAACATCAAGTCCTCACAAAGGTCTCTCAGCCCTTGGTACTCTCTACTAGGCTGTATTTCCTAGGTGTTGGCTGCCTGCCACTGTCTGATACACCTATGTGCCACACTGCTGTCTGCTGTTAGGAACGTAGCTGTGGGAGGGCAGGGACCCTGGGTATGTCTAGCACATTGGGTGCCAGCAGTGATCCTCATTGAATGGATGAGTAGATTTAAGATGATCTGTTCACACTGAACCATCTCCACCTTTCCCAGAACTCTACCCAGACACTCAAAATCACAGGATGTAGTTGGGGATGGTGGCACATTCCTTTAATCCCAGCACTCGGGAGGTAAAGTCAGGTGGATCTCTGAGTTTGAGGCCAGCCTGCTCTACAGAATGAGTTCCAGGACAATCAGAGCTGTTACACAGAGAAACCCTTTCTCAAAACAAACAAACAAACAAACAAACAAAACATAGCTAGGTGGTGGTGGTGGTGCACGCCTTTAATCCCAGCACTCTGGAGGCAGAGGCAGGTGGATCTCTGTGAGTTCTAGACCAGCCTGGTCTACAAGAGCTAGTTCCAGGACAGCCTCCAAAGCCACAGAGAAACCCTGTCTTGAAAAACAAAACAAAACAACAAAACACACACAAAAACCACAGGGTGAGACTAGAGTCTAGTTTAAAAGTTCACATTCATTAGGAAGTGTGGGAGCACTCAGGTCATGGTGTCATATGGAAGTCAAAGGACAACACATGGGAATTGTTTCCTATCACATGAATCGAACTCAGGTGTTCAGGTTTGGCAGCAAGTACCTATGTTCAATGAGCCATCAGAGAGTTGGGAAGAAAATCAGAAAACAACAGGAGAGAAAACTTATAGAAGGGGCAGGTGTGGTGAGGGGAAAGCCAGACTTTACTAACTCTGGCTTAGGGGAAGCACTCACAGTGGTAGGTGCAGTAAGGGAAAGCTGGGGGCGGGGGGGGGGGGGCAAGCTGAGAGGAGCCATTAGAATGAGGCTACCACATTCCTGCTAAGGTGAGCCACAGGTTCATCGGGGAAGCCTGATTGGCACTTAAATGTTCCTGCTTTCTCTAAGCAGAGGCTGAGACCCGGGTCAATGAAACATCATTAAGACAGATACATTATTAAGACCCATTCTCCCATTCTAGAACTGTCAGGAGCCCTCACCAATGAACCAGGGTTAAGATGAAGCACCCTTACCTCGGTCCTGCTGGGACCAGTCTCCTGGACTCAGCTCACCAAGTGCAGTTCCAGACAAGTACCACTGGGATCCTTCATTGGAAGGGATGTCTATGAAGCTGGAAAATTTATCCAGGGCGATCCACTCCTCTTCAGTGATACCCGAGAGTCGTGGAAGGGTGTAAAATATGGTCTGAAAAGAGAATCATAAAATCTAAGAAACATTTTCCTTAGAAAATAAAGGAAAAACCAAGACCAGGTTTTTATTATTGCTGGTGTTTCTCCTAAGCCACCCTCCACTGCAGGCTCTCAGAGCC